TACGAGTCTGTTGGGTGTATCAATGATTTTGCTTCCTTCATTACATAATGCCTAACTTGTAAATATTTATAGAATTCCTTATTTGATAACGCGTACTGTGTTTTTAAAGAATCAAACGATTTGAATGCCCCATGTTCAAAGAGATCAGAAATTCTAATTATGCCTGCTTTATGCCAACCCAAAAAACTCGAGCCTATGTCTCGAGGCAGGAGATCTGGGTTGTCTATAAGTGTTGATACCATATTAAGCCGGTGATTACTCTTAAACAGTTTTCTCAGCTTTTCCCATGCCCACAAGACATTACTTATCAACTGATTATCCTTCATTATTTGTGGCAAGTCGTTCAACCGTCTTCCTAGCATGTTAGCAGGTGAGCAGGATTTACATAATGATGTTTCAATGTTGAGCCAAGGTGAATCAGGGTGTCCATGTATCCAGGCAGAAATGATCCTGGCTTGTACAGATAGAGCATAATTTTCGATGTTTGGTAACCCCCACCCCCCTAAAGCTCTGGGAAGTTGTAATATCTCTAATTTAATTTTGGGTTTTCTTCCTGCCCAGATGAAGTCTACCATTGCTTTATTGATAACCTTAATGTCTTCTGATTTCAAAATTACAAACAGCATGGCTGTGGGATATATTATTTTAGGAAGGATGACCATCTTAACAAGATTTATCCTCCCCAAAAATGATATGGGAAGAGCCCTCCATCTTGTCAGCATCTCACACAAACCACGAGTCAGTCCATCGATATTTTGCTTATACACTTGGTTAATGGTTGGTGTAACTTTGATTCCTAAGTATACAAATCCTGATGGGGCCCATCCGAAAGGTTTAATATATGTAGGTTCCCTATCCCCCGCCAAGCTGTTCAAGGTCATTATAACAGATTTATCAAAGTTCACTTTATATCCAGATATGTGACCAAAATCCTTAATACATTTAATCACAGCGGGTAATGAATCAGTTGGATTTGTCAATGTCAGAAGAACGTCATCTGCATAAAGCAGAATTTTGTGCTCTTTTTCCCCAATTTTGACCCCATGAACATCTGGATTTTGTCTAATGGCCATAGCAAGAGGCTCAATGGCCAGAGCAAACAAGAGTGGTGAGAGTGGACTACCTTGAGCTGTGCCTCTTCCCAGTTGAATGGGAGAAGACAACAGACCATTTGTTAAGACAGAAGCTATTGGAGTGTTGTATATTATTCTAATCCATCTCATAAAATTCGGTCCAAACCCAAATCTTCTCATAATTTCAAACATATATTCCCACTCAATCCTATCAAACGCCTTTTCAGCGTCCATAGAAACAACCAACCCTGGAATTTGGTAAAAGTTGACGTAATGGATAATATTAAAAAGGCGTCTTGTATTATAATACGAATTCCTCCCCTTAATAAAACCCGTTTGGTCTGCATCTACAATCGAGCATAAAACTTTTTCTAACCTATGAGCTAAAACTTTTGAGAGTATTTTATAATCCACACCTAGAAGGCTGATAGGCCTATAGGATGAACATAACTCAGGATTTTTATCTTTTTTAGCTATAAGTGTTATATTAGCTCTGTACAAAGTCTCTGGTAGTTTTAGTTCCTCGAACGATTTGTTGAACATTCTAAGCAGCAAGCTGCCTAATTTTCCCTTCATTACCTTGAAAAACTCCACTGGAAAGCCGTCTGCACCCGGACTCTTCCCCGACTGAAGTGCAAATATAGCTTTATCTATTTCCACCTGCGTTATGGGAGAATCCAGCAAGTTAACCTGCTCCTCAGAAAGTTGGGGAAATGTTACATCATTTAAGAAAAATCCGGATAACAGGCTTGTCATGTCAATCTCAGAGCTATACAAAGTAGCGTAAAACTCTTTGAAGCTATCATTTATCTTACTATTTTCCATTTGTCTCTGACCATTAGAATCAACAATCGCCGTGATAAAAGATTTTGCAGGGACATTTTTTGCAAGATGAGCCAAATATCGGTTAGGTTTGTTAGCCGATTCAAAAAGTCTTTGTTTAGCAAAAAGAATATCTTTCTCAGCCTTATGCATTATTAGATTTTGGAGAGCTGTCCTAGCGCTTTTAAGCTCATTTAATGTTTCTGTAGATTTAGTACAGTAGAATTGATTTTCCAATTGTTTAATATTATTCTCAATCTCTAACTGCCTTGCTAATCGTTCCTTTCTCTTGTGACTTGTGTATGAGATAATAACACCTCTGAGATAAGCTTTATAACTATCCCATAAAATTCTCGAATCAATATTCTCACTATCATTAGTTTCTAGATAAAATGTTGTTTGTTCATCTAGAATACGTACAAATTTGTCATCCAACAAATACAACAAATATTGGTGGGGACATGTCCACACCAGTCCTTAAGGAAGTTACTCCTATGATTGTTCAGATTAACTTGTCTTCTTTATGGCTTTTATTCGGTGCTTTACTGCATTTGTTTTGGGAAAATATGAGGAAAAAATAAATACAGAAAAAAAAATATTTTTTTTTTTATTTAAAATTTTTTTTAAAAATAATTATAGGGTGGCTAATGCCAAAGAAAGGGTGACTGAAGCCACCCTTAAATAGGTCTAACGACGCTTATGGGAACCAGTATGAGCTTGTTGCTGCTAGAGTGATTCATTGTTATTTGTAGTAATGCCCTCAAAGTCTATTAATGTTATTTTGATATTAAAACTTAGACACACATATCCAGACCAAGATAAGATGGGTGTAGTGTTTTGATAATTGCTTTTTAAAATGGGTTTTGTATCCCTGAATATCCATTACCAGTATATATAACAGGAAAAACCTCCTCAAAACGATTTATTAGAAACACAATTTGCATGTGGACCAGAGGAACAGATGCACCAGATGATCTAAATTTCTGTGTTATTATTAATGTGCCTCCATGGTTACATTCACCAAGCAGTAATCCAAAGTGGCTTTAAAGACTGAATATAGAGTCCAAGGTGTTCATATAACACAAGCCAGCAGCGGCACCATCATGAATGCTGGTTTACCAAAAGCTCAGTGTATCTCCCAGACTTTCTCCTACATCTTCAATTATTTACTCCTGTTCTGCTCTTTTTGGTTCGGTCCCAGACACCTTTCACGACACAACCGCAAGGTTCACTTCTGTTATTCTCATTGTCAAATTCTTGCTATATTTTCTAGAAGCTATTTTCATGCAATTCACGTCCTTTCTTCCCTCGGCTGCTGAATTCTGTCTTCTTAATGGAGCTCTCTCGGCTAAATAGACTGGGGCTTCTGACATGATTGAGTAAAAAGGAACGGATGGGCAGCGCAGAGAGAATAGCTGATGCAGCCATCTTAGCTGGGGATGGATTAATTGAAAGGTTCATAGGCAGCGCAGGTGGTGGACACATCAAAGTACAACGGCTAATTAGGACCCCCCTTCGCCTTTCACTTTTATTTATTTATTCTGTTTTAATGTCTTACCTCTTTCATTTATTTATCTCAGCTCTACCAGGATGCCTGAGCTGAATGTGAATTGGGTGAGCTTACATTTGCCTCTATTTTTGTTATGCCTTGCTGAGCTGGCTTACAGTAAACACGCAGGAAGCAAACCAGTGCCTATTCTCCTCATCTGTCCTCTCCCAGAAATACTTTAGATAATGTCACCAGTGGCTAAGAGCCATTGGCCACAAAACGTTTTATTAAACTCAAGACTGTGGCTCCTAATCAATACCTTCCTACAATGGTGTCATTTGGTAATAGGATTAGGGATGGGGGTTTCGAATGGAGAGAGAACCAATCCCTAAACTGGTTCTGATGTTTTGTTGGACGATGGGCCTTAGCTCCAGGTAATGAAGTCAGAGCTCCTCCATTATATCGACCCCCTCAAGAGCTCTCCTATCCCATTGCTGATGACCCGTATCAAAGAGGAACCAAGGCTCCTTCATCCTCCCCCTCCCCCCCTCCCCGGCTCTGTGACCTTCTCCATAATCTACTTTAGAAGATGGGTTTCGCTAAGAGCTGCTTCCATCACGAGGACATTGATTTTGCCATTAGAGGTGGAGCATCAGTACACAGAGTGGAATTAGCCCAAAAAAGAAGACAAGACGACGGCAGGAGGAAGGAACACCTTGATTAGAAGCCCTTTGAATCCGTTAGGCTTTTCTGGGAGCTGTTGGTTCCTTTTCTGAATAACAAATTAGTCTCGAATGAACTTTCTGCCTGCCTCATGAGCGTCTCTCCCCTCGTCTGACACGCTTTCAAACCCCTGCCTTCACGCACATTCACCTAATCTCCCCCAAGGGCCTCCGCTGCAGGAAATGTTTGTAACTTCAAAAGAGGGGACCCTCCCACTGTCTTTGTCTGCACGATTTGTTTCTCTCTGAAACCAATTCCCTAAACAACAGGCTTTCGACGTGTCACCGCTTATTTTTCTCATTTTAATCTCTTTTAAAAGAATAAAAATGCAGAACAGTAGCAGAAAACAAAGTATCTATGGGAATTTTCTTTCAATTTTTTACTGTTGCTACAAATGAGCAGCTCTTCCCTCTTCCTTTAGCTCAGCTTTTAAACCCTGTAAATGACCTTTCAGGGTCACAGTTAAAGAATTGCTGTGACAACTTTCTCCAAGGTCTCGGCAGATAATTAAATTTTACAGAACGCTGTGCAATTAGTTGCATTCTCATATCAGTAGGCAGGCACCCATAAAGCGCCTCTAAAGGCCAGAGAGTCCCTCCTTTTTTATTTCTGATTTAATTGAAATAAGAGAGGACGCCTCATTGGTGGTGCAGAGATGTCTAATTTATTTAGTCACTATCTAACCCTTGCTGCGGTGGATCATTATTTTCGACTCAGCTGCAGTTCTTGGTGTCTTCACTTGCAAGATGAATATCCATACTTTGTCATCCTCTGAAAATTTAAGCAACCGTTCATCTGTGATAAAAAGAAATATCAATTTCTACCTGATGGCTTAGTGGAAAAAAGAAAATAAATCATAGTCATATTGTGGTGTTGGGTGTGATTACTTGCAGAATGTGGCTCTGGAGCATCTGGGTCGGGCGTGGAGAGCTGCGAACAGGAGCGCTGTGCCATGCATGGTGGCCAATGGAACGACGATGAAGAGGATGAACGCTGTATCTGCAACTTCAGCTGTGAAAGTGTGCCACACAACGAGGTAAAACCGCAAGGAAAAGTACATGGTCTCTCTCTCTCTTGTTTAAACCTTACAAACCTTACCTTTTTCAGTCAACTTTGTACCACAAAATTACATGGTTCCAATTTTTTCCAGAACATGGGTCAAAAATCAAAAAGAGTAAGGGCTTAAGATTCTTATTGAATGAATAACAAACATAAATATGGTACAAAGTTTGGAAAAATGTCATAAAACATACAAACATATGGTAGCTAAACATTACAAGCAACATGTTGGTATATATATATATATATATATATATATATATATATATATATGTATATATGTATATATACATATGGGTATATATATTTATAGGTCTGCTGTATGGGACCACTTTGCATTTATAGTGACCTACGATGACGGCAGGAAGAAAGTTGTGGATAAAAGTGTGTGTGCAAGCATTGTGCAACACGTTTTGTTTATGCTAACAGCAACACAACCAACTTGTCATGCTAACCCCAAAATCCCACATACTCCATCAGCGCTCCATGGTTTCCGCGGATCATTAAAAATAATTACAATTCATACATTTTTTTGGATTCTTTTCATTAATTTCATAAATTTTTATTTTTTTCATGAATTTTTGTAATTTTTATTTTATTTTATTTTTTTCGGTTCAACAATAAACATGTACCGAACCGAGCCGAAAACCGTGACCACGAAACCGTGAACCGAACCGAACCGTGGATTTTGTGATATATATATATATATATCACACTAGCTCCTTCCATTTCCACAATAAAAGGCTAATCTTTATCCCCCCTGACCGCACGCTTTAAGAGCCTGATGTTGATATTGTGGAATCAAATGGGCGTGGCTTACATCGTGCAGCAGAAGAAGTATGATAAGCAGGAGATTTTACTGATGGGATTCCCTCAGCCCACACAGTTTGATATTGTCCTCCCCATGCAGCCTCTCATAACCCATTTAGTAAGATCATTTCAGTCTGATTTGTTTTGCGCACTCCAGTTTTTATATGAATCAGATTTTGCTCTGCAACGTATTTCTCAGGTCACCAGTCAGGGAGATCATCTCTCATGTTGCTACAATTGTTCCACAGACCTTTGCCTTGACTTCAATCCCTGTTTGTGATTTACTGGTCTAGGTTAGCCTGATGCTTTTAGATGCAGTCAGATGCTTGATGTGTTCAGTCTGTGCATAGTTAAAGGGTTTAGCTACCCATTAAATTGTGATTAAAATAGCCACCATGTCATAAAAATCTCACTTTCGGTAATTGTTTTCTTTGCAGGTGTGCGGCTCTGATGGAAAAACCTACAGGAACGAGTGCGAACTAAAGAACACCAGATGTTTGGAGAAGAGGCAGTTGTTGATTCAGAGTCAGGGACCCTGTGCAGGTCGGTGCATTACCCGCTCACCCCTAATGCGATTGCAGTGCACAGGTGCTTCCTCATTGTCGCTGCCATCCCATTACTCCACTCATTCCCTCCATCGATGGGGTTAAGGTTTCGTCTCTCCTCGGGTTCTAATCCTCACATCGTTTCTGTTGTGTCTCTCCTTTGTTAGCCAAGTCGCTAACAGCTAATGAACTGACAGAGATAATTTCTGAATGTGATTTGCCTTTTCTGTGTGATTTTGCTCCAGGAAAGTTGATTCACGTGGGTTTATGTTTTTTTTTTTTCTTCAGCAGCGTTTGTGTTTCACGTCCTGAAACCGACGGCTCCTCTGAGGCCGGCTGGTGTGCACAGTTATAATCTTTCTCTCAGGCATGTGTGTGTTAGGAGCTGATTGCAGTAATGAGTCTTTTTTTTCTATCCTGAAAATCTGACAATATAAACCATTAAACTTGCCTCTGATCCCTAAGGATACCACTTTACTCCATTATGGCTAATATAAACAGCCATACTTTGCATGCGATAATGGCATTTACCCGGTGAAGTGATCGTTAGATCAGTGGCCGAGCTGCAAAGGTTAACCACCTTCCTCTCTGTGGCTGAGGCAAATGAAGAGCCTTTGCTGGTAAAGGCCGAGGAGCGGAGCAAAAGGCACTTAAGGGATTTCGTGTGATCATTCCAGCCTGTTTGATTCCCCCTGGGTCCAAAAGAGAGGAAGATGAAGCGAGCTGAGGAGAGGGAGAATAAAGGAAGCTCCCAGTGTTTCCACTCACATCCCTGTGGATTCTTCTTCCTCCTAAGCTGGTGTCCTTTGGGCGCTGACTGTCACGCTCCTCTACCCACCGTGGATAATCAATCCTTTCTTCTGAACAGCCCTCTATGTGTACAGGACCTTTGGGCTTCTCTTCGTCAATTGGCTAATGGATGAACTCAGATCTTTGGGATTTTCCCTGCCCTCTACATTAATTATGTGAGGGGCAATTTTGAACTTGACCTTAAGTTCAGAAACCAGAATAAGAAGTTTTTTTTTTGTAGCTCTAAGCTTTGAAATAACTTTTTGAGCCTAGTTTTAACTTTCCTATCAGCTACAAAGCCTCTGCATGAAATTCATACAGCTTTTTCACATTTTTAAGATATAATCACAAAGTTTAGTGATTAAATTTTGGGATTTTACAAAAGAATAAAGCAGAATTTAACTTTCAAATAGGGAAAAGAACATAATACTTTTTTTTGATTAACATGCATTTGTATTCAGTCCCCTTTACTATAAAACCCCTGAGTAAATTACAGTTAATGTTTTAATGCTCTGAGAGGGTTTGTTAGGGGATATTACTAAAAAACAAAACAAAAGAAACAATGCCCCAAACTTTATAAAAATGGAACTCTCTTGAGTCCACCATTCCAACATTAGTGGATGATCCACCCTAAAATTATAGGTCTTTAACAGAAGCTGGTCACTCTGGAGGAGCTGCATGATCAACAGCTCAGGTTGGGGAAGGAATCATGCTGGTCACATAAAAGACTGGAGGTTCACTTAAAAGACTGGAGGGTTAGCCTAAACATACAGCCAGAGGCAGCATCGAAGACCAAAAAAGAATTAGAGAAATTATGTTTTATTAAATCCTCTCCATCCACTCTGAATGAACTTGTGCTGCTTCACAACAGCAAATGAGCAAAACGTGAAACGTTCAGATTTGAAGAGCGGTTAGAAGAAACCCTGAAGCACATGATTATAGTAAATAGTCTAGTTTAAAAAAAAAAAAGAAGGGGCGGATGGTAGATTTTTTTATTTTTTGGCCTAATTAATATAGTCTATTAACTATATAGGCCACTTTGATTTTATTTATTTTGCTCAGGCTACTCTGTGGGCTACTCATAAGCCCACAGACCGCCAAATGTTGAAAGGGAAATATTATTGCATATCATTTAAAGCTACAGTGTGTAATTTTCAGCGACATCTAGCGGTCAGACTGCAGACCGCAGCAACATGAACATCTCCCCCCCACCGCTTCTCCCCCCCAACAGTACGGCGAGCGTTACAGGACAAAATGTCTTCCACGACGTCCACATCACCTACCTTCTCAAGTGATGAGGTTTGTTTACGTAGATAATTTTACAGATAGTATTTCATTAGTCTGTGTAGGGTATAGATTTCATGTAGACTTAAGATAATAAATATACCCGTTATTTTTTCTACATCGTTGTGACGTTTTGGTGAGCTGCTTTGCATGGTGATATAAACAGACGAAGTAATTGTAGTCATTAGTTTAACAGCGAGATTGTGTTCGCTGGAAGAATATATATTCCCCGTTTACAGAGTCCAAGTCATTTTGGTGGCACGGGGGTTACAAGGCAAGGAAGAGGGAGAGGACGAGGGCGAGGGCAGGGAGGGAGAGGGCAGGGAGGCCGTGCAGCTAGGGCCAGGCGAGGGAGGGGTGCCAGCGGGGTGAGAGCAGAGGAGGAAAGGCTTGAAGATCTCCAAAGGAGCCGCAGAGAAGTAACCGAGGTATATATCCAGAAAATTATTTTACAGAAAATTACTGAATCATTACCTGTGAAACGTCAGGGACATTGCTGAATAAGTATACTGGAGAGTAACAGCATCATCACGCAGCATGTTATTGTTTTAGACAGGTCTGAGCATCCTGTACTCCAAAAACTGCAGTGATATTAGACAATTGTGTGTGTAGGATTAATTACCTGTCCAAGAGAAAACTGGCAACTTGAGCGTCACTTTGAAAACCTTTTTCCTCCATCAGTGACTTCCATCGTGTAAATGCCGTGCCAATGTTGATCCGTGTTTTTTGTCGTTTCTTGTCACGCTTGCGTTTATTCTCGTCGTGTTTCCGCTTCTTAGATGACGGGGGTTCGGTGTCCGCCGCTTTTCGTTGTGATACAGAGTAGGCATGATCCTCCATTCGTCTGATGTTTGGCCACACAGTGCCAAACAGTTTGCAAAGTCACTCACGCCTGCCGCCTTGTTCACCTTTCTTGTTACCGAGGCGCAGTATACCTGCTTCTTCTTCTTCTTTGGTTTCAGGCAGACTAAACGCTTCTCAGGCATAATACTGCCATCTACTGTTCAGTACCGTCTCAGTTCATCTCTCTCAACTTGCCGTAGTCATTTTCGAGCGTCATGGGAGATCTCGCAATCGCTAGTTTGTTGCCTCTGCGCTTGCCGTAGCGCAAAGATGTCAGCCTCCATGGCTGCGAGACCCGCTCCTATGTAATTATAAATAACGAATTCTAAGGCAACGCAAATGTTATGGTTAAAAGGCTGAGCTCATAGGTGATGATAAATAACATAGTTATGTATAATATATTAAATTTCTGACTTTATATGCCTGTAATTATTACACACTGTAGCTTTAAGAAGGGGGATGATTCTTAAGATTTTTTTTAAGAAGGAGGATGCCATTCCCCCTCATCAGCCCCTCAGTTCGACTACTGATTATAGCGAAATGTGTGTTGAAAAATATAATTTGATATTTTAGATGATATTTTCAGGTCAGTATAAAGCACATGCTCCCTGACTTTTCTCAAAAACTTGCTTCTGTAACTTTAGAGGGTCGAATCCGTCACTAAGTGAGTTTGGCTTTGCGGCAGTGTGAGCCCCCTCTTAAAAAAACGATAGCTAACTAAGCTAAAAGTTATTGTGAGGCAACAAAACTGATCTGACTCATACGCTTAACCTGGAACCTCCAGCTCTAGCGCACCTAGTGGTTAAACGTTACACAAGTGGCTAGATATAAACACGCGCCACATTGTTCAGATTTTATGTTTTCCAAAATTCTGAAATCCATGGATCATTTTCTTCCAGCTCATAAATAATGTGCACATTTTTTTGGTCTGAATCCATTTATAATACGATATAGTTAGTTATAAGATCTAAAAACCCTTTTCCAAGGTGCAGCACATGGATATTTATAATGTTTACAGACCTGAGGTGATTCACATAATTCCTCTGTGGTACCTGTCAGCTCAATATGGCGCAAGACTTAGTCGAAATTAGTGGAAATTATAATAAGTCCGTAAAAATACTATTATTGCAAAAAAAAAGAAGGATAATACCGTTCAGAAATATGAAATGTACTATTGCACGTCAAAGTGAGCAGCAATGTGCCTGGCAACAGCTACTGGAGGGCAAAGAAACCGAGGAAAGGGTGGAAGAACATATGAAATTAAAAGTTCTCCTTGTCCTAATAGGCTTGGTGCAGATAGCCCAATGCAGCGTTGGAAAGTGGCGACTTAAATGAACTGTGTCCAGAGCCCATCTCTGGAGTGGGAAAGCGCTGGAAAAAAGGAGCGAGCCGAGTCATCACCATTAGGCTGTGGCTCATATCCACACCAGTAACAGTGTGATTTATGGCCCGGTATCTCCAGCCTCCAAACTCCAAATTAGCAACATAAGAAAGGGAGATTGGTTGGGGAATAGAGAGAGAAAGAGCGGACTGAAGAGAGAGCTCTCTTTTTTTTTCATCTACAACTTAACTTTTCACTCAAAAGCTTTGAACAATGAGCTTTTTCTTGCCTTGGCTATTAAACAATCCCCCCCCCCCCCCTTTTATTTTTCTCCTCCTATTGTGTTTGCTGTTCACTTCCAGCTACGAAAAAGAGGCCAATTTCAGGGACACGCTTGTTTCTATCTGGTTGAATGTAGCTCTGCCACAGCAGTTTGGCGGCTGGTGACAAAAGAGCTTTCTGCACAGGCAGAAGCAGCTTGGCACGTTCCTATGCATAAAGTAGTTTGTGTTTTTTTTATATATATATATATAAGCTGTAGGTTTTCAGAAAGACAGGAACAAATGAAGAGAACATGCAGTGTGGTAGGTGGTAAATGTCAGCTGCTGCAAATTCAGAAGAGTCTTTGCTTGTTTTCACCAGAGGGATCAATTCTGTCTCACTGTATGAAAAAAAAAAAGCTGCTCCAATTGTGTTGTCTAAAGTCCAACCGATCCAAACCTGACCAATTCCGTGTGTATTCAGGTCCCTTTCTTCTCTCCTTTGTGCCATCTTCCCCTCAGAGAATCCTCCCGCACCTCCGACTGAGCTGACAGCGCCGCAGCACTGCAGCCTCTCTCCGTACGGCTGCTGCTCCGACAACGCCACCGCCGCTTTAGGGGTCGGGCAGGCTGGATGTCCCAGTAAGTCCATGTACCCCTTCCAGGCTCCGCCTACTGAATTCCAGATGCTATCAGGCTTAACTGACCTTCACTGCTGTTGAAGTTTCTGCAAGATTACAAGCAGAGCTACAGAGCTGGAAGCGTTTCATCTTAATCCAGGGAATAATTATGATAATGCCAGTCTTTACCAACGGAAAAAAAAAAAAGCAAATCTTCTGATGATTTTGACTCTTGATATGGTGGAGATGTGGAATGAAAATGTTGCATCAGGCCGTAGTCTTTGAGATCCTGAAGATTTAGATAAAAGCGTAGATTTTCCACCCCCAACACAACCAATCCATGTTGTAGAAAGGATTTGAAGAGCTTAAGAATCACAGATGTTGTTGAATTTTCCACAGGTACGTGTCAGTGTAACGTCCACGGCTCCTACAAGGGCACCTGCGACCCGACCAGCGGGCAGTGCTCCTGTAAGCCGGGCGCCGGCGGGCAGAAATGTGACCGCTGCGAGCCGGGCTTCTGGAACTTCCGCGCCATCGTCACCGAAGGCATGAGCGGCTGCACACGTAAGGAAGCCAAATAATCCACGTCGTCTTTGAGCTGCTTTCTGCATTCTTATCAGAACCTCAGGGTAGATGTAAAGGCCAACGCTCCCATAATGTTTAATGCTACATTTATAAAGCATTTGTTGACAAACAGGCAAAGTTACTGACTGAATTTGAGCAGATTGATTTCCTGTTGCATCCTTTAATGCTGTCAAAACAGGACTGAATGAACGGCTATGCGGTTGAGGCGTGAGGTCATGACCTCTTTGTTTGTCTTGATGTAATGTAATACGCCGACCGCTGCCTCCTGGAGCCAGGTAGCCGGCTTTCAGTCACCAGCAGGGAGCCTGCAGGTGTCTAACCTGTGGCCTGACCTTAACAAGGTTTACCCAGCCCAAGCAGACAGCAAACAGAACACCAATGAGGTTTTCAGCAGGAGGGGAGCAGGGAGATAAAAATAATCACATCATTGATTCGAGGAACATGATGGGTTTGATGTCCTTCCCCGAGGTTGTTGTTTTTTTAAGGTCCTTTTACAAAATCATTCTCCTCCTTCTTCTCTCCCCGCTTGAGGTGAGTTGAACTGTTCCCAACCTCTCACTCTAAGACTAAGATGTATCTTTGTTTACCTACCGCACTTAGCGAAGCTGCCAGTTATTGTCCCTGATCGATTTGTTTTGGGTTTTTTTTTTTCAATCAACGCTTCACTTTTTTTCTTTATCTCGACTTCATTTCAGCGTGCAGCTGCGATCCCACAGGCTCGGTCCGGGATGATTGCGAGCAGATGTCGGGACTGTGCTCTTGCAAGACGGGGGTGAAGGGCTTGAAGTGCAACGTGTGCCCAGATGGGAGGAAGATCGGCATGAACGGCTGCGACAACGGTAATAAGAGAGAGAAGTGAGGTGGATAGAGGCGCCTCAGGCTCCCCTGTCCTCTCAGCTTTGCTCTTCCATCCTGAAGAGGTTTTCTTTCACTTATCTGATTAGTGGATAAGCCTTATGGCGGCCACTCTTTCTTGATCTCCTCTCGGCATCCATCAGGTTTATTGGCGAAGAAGGAAGTGGCTGCGAGATAGCTAATCAATAGTGATTAGGGAAATAGTCGAGTGTTCAAAAGGCCTGTGAGCGACATATTACCCATTGATGTTTCTATTTCTCTGCATCAAGCCTCATGTTGGATGATTCAGCGCCAACATGTATGTGCTTACATAAGAGCTATTGATGGCCTTTGATTGAAAATAAACCCGCCCCGGCGATTGCTTCGAAGGAAACGGGAAACAAAACAGTTAAAGGAAAGGTTAGTTCCTGCTGGGGGGGTGGGGGCTGCCGCTCCTTGATTAAGATTCACCATCTGACATCGACTGGAAGTCAAACGCTTAATGAAGCCAACAGTCTCAGCGCATAGCGAGGCGCTCAGACGCACACAGAGATAAAAAGAAAAGGTACTCAGAGGGCGCTTCACATGAAAACATGGGGGGGTGTGTGATGCTGTAACAATGTGATGAAACCAAACCACCTCTGAGGGTTCAGCTGTTGGATCAACAAGGATTCATCTAACCTTTAGGGGGGAAAAGATGACAAACGCTGCAAAAAAGTTCTGAAAATGTGTAAAAGTGTCTTAAACTAAGTGTATTTATTCCTAATTCAAGTAGGAAAATAACCTGCCAATGGAATAAGCATTTTTAACCTCAGAATAAGATACTATTATGCACTTGAAGTAACGTTTGTTTTTTTCTTATTTTAAATGTTAACTGTCTTGTTACATTGGCTAAGTGTCTCACTTTCCTACTCAATTCAGGAAAACTGCACTTATTTTAAGAAACAAAATGACTTCCTTAGATTTACATTTTTTGCAATGCAGGTGAATGGATGATATGAACTCTGCTTCTCATATTGCAAAAAAACAATTTAGAAATAAGTAAAAAATTATTTAATTAAGTGTATTTACCCTTGATTTGAATAGGTAAATGAGATAATTTGCCAAACGAACACGTATTTTTACTCTAAAAAATAAGATAATTAGATAATATCCCTAAAATAAGACAATGCATTTGTGTTTTCTTATTTTAAATCTAAATTGTCCTGTTCCATTGGCAAAATGATTTTTTCCAGTGTAATAAACATCAGGTCATTAAACATTACAGTCATGTTATCTTCTGTTTGGACTATGATTTGCTTTTGTTGATCATTATCAGAAGGGACAGAATGACTAAGATTGCAAACCTGTTTCCTGCACAGGTCCAGACGCCCCAAAGTCGTGTGAAGAACTGGTTTGCAGCTTCGGTGCAACCTGCATCGAGGAAAACGGCCAGGCCCATTGTCAGTGCCCTCCTCCTGATTGTGACTTAAGAAACAAAACAAAGGTATGTTTGTTTACTCGAGCGAGTATGTTGATCCACGAGCCCCCTACCCTACAAACTGAACAGCAGGGAGCTAACATGTGGCTCCGGCTCCCGTCCCTCCATCTCTGTCACTGTGGAGCAGGTGTGCGGCTCAGATGGGGTGACCTACGCCGACCAGTGCCAACTGAGGACCATAGCCTGCAGGCAGGACAAGGACATTACGTTGCAACACTTTGGACAGTGCACAGGTGAGCCTGAGCCATACCTCAATGCATCACAGGCGGAGAGGTTAGCCAGCTGTCTGACTGGTCGCCTGCTGGTTCTGAGACCGTCCAGCTCTCTATCTCGAGGGGGAAATTAGGAAAGCTGGATCGGAAACGCTAAATAAATGCTAGTGCTGCAGATACGCTAACTGGTCACTTTATTATGTACACCTGTTCAATTAGCCACTGATACAAATAGCAAATTAACCAATCCCATGGCTCCAACTGCACAAGTTTAAGCTTGTGTTGTGTGGGAGAGAAAGAAAAGGAGACAGAAAGATGGGTCGCCATGGACTGTTCTTAAAAAAAAAAAAAAGACTTAAATTCCTTTTTTTTTTTTTTTACCATTGATCCTACAAAAACATACAGGACTGCACTGTAAAAACAGGCTAATAATGGTTCTGCTGAGAGAATAAATACGTCTTTATTTGTTCTGTTCTATTACCAGATCTGTCCCAGAAAAGTAATCCCTGCTCTGTCTGGCAGCGCATTTTGGATTTATAAATAAATGCCTCATTTTTTGATTTCATGTTTGCATTTCATTGTACTTGTTTAGTGTATTGTGCATAATCTAAAGAAGGACAAATCAAATTCAGATGAAGACGATATTTCACAAAGGTGGGTTGACATGTCGGATAAAGATACAAGAAATATAAAGGAGGGAATTTAATGCATTTATTCTCTCAGCAAATTCATTATTAATATTTCATACAATGTAGTTTTTTATGTTTTAATAATTTAAAGATAGAAATAGGCACTTTCAGTGTCGCCTTAACATTATTTGCAGTAAGGATGACCTGGATGGATCTGTGGTTGCATCTGATGACACCTGGTGACAGTGTTGACTGTACGGCTTCTGTGTCGTGCATAACATTGCCTGACATACATTCCCATCTGATCTGCAGATCTTCCTTTACTGCAGAAGTGAATTTTGACTTAATTTGATCTGAATTAGATCAGTCAAACCTGATCTAATTGAGTTTGAGTCTCTTTTTTTGAAAGTCTTTATTTTATTTGGATTTAGGACCATCTTAGATTAGCAGAAGCAGCTCCCCCAGAATCCCCCCTTCTTTGCCTCAGCTGCTCTGACTCTGTTTTATGGGATCATTTCTTGTCACATTTTAGAGCCCGTAGCACCGATAGAGCATCTCTGAAACACTCCCCCTGCTGACTATATCCATCCAATCTGAACAAAGCCCCAATCATATCAACCAGTTTCTCTACATTACAATGAATGAACTGTCCTCCAGTGGCCTGCAAAATAACCAGATCTCACTCTGAAAGAAACCCTTTGGATAATTTTTGACCCAGAGATTATCATCATGGTTACACTGGAAAAAGTATAACCTTGCTTAAATAAAAAATAAAAAAGATGTCCAGATATGTAAAATATTTGACCTCACAGAATCTGAATTAAATCACTTCTTATGACCTCATTATTTTATGCTGATGTGAACAATAATGCTAATTTAATGCTAATTTCCGTTGACGAACCAAACTAATATATTGAAATTGAACCAACCTAATGCACTTACTTTTAACTAAATTAACATGAATTAATGTTTGTATTGACACCGGTTAATTAATTTAAATATATCCAAATTATAATTTTCACATTTCATTTGACTTTACTTTGAAAATAATTTCCATTTCCCATATTAGAAATTCTTAAAAAGAAAAACACCTGGCCAACAGGTTACTTTAAATGTATTTATTAACTGTTAATGTAGCGTGTAATGTATGGTGTAAATCCAGGTGGTGTAAATTGACATTAACTAACCTCGGCAAGCGATAACAGTTAGCAACCGTCGCTAACAAAAACAGCCCTCCTGCTCTTTATAACAGTGGAGGCTCCCGCTGCCAGTGACGGTCGGCTATCAAGCATTTAACGTGAATAAAACTCCACTCTGTACCTTCAAACAATGTTTGTTTAGCTCTGGATGTAGTGAGGGCTTTTGGCTAGCTTTTGGTTAGCAATTCATTGTCATAACATTATCGGTGAATGAATAAACCCTCTCAGACGTCAGCTAGCTAATATTAACTCGCTAACTAACCAGCTATAACATTGATTATATGCAACTGCTTTGCTACTTGCTTTTATTTGTGGGTTAAAACCACCCAGGATGTAGAGACGATGAAAACGGCGCTCTCTCACTGTCTGGGACTTGGACTTGTTGGTAGTCTGTGACTTGGACTCTATCATGTGATCTGACTGTGTGCAAAGCGCAATTCACATGTGACTCAAACATAAAAAAATTACCTGCAGGTCATGAATAAATATATACACTACCATTCAAAAGTTTGGGGTCACATTAGCTACGTTTACATGGACACAACTAATCGGATTGAAGGCCTGATCAGATCAAAAATGTTTCATGTAAACATGTCAGACTGAAGATTCTAATCCGATTCGGTCCGATCGGATCTAAATTTAATTCCGAAAGAGAGAGGTGGTTTTTGCCGATCGCCATTCCGATTGGCGTCCATGTAAACACCCATTCGGATCTTAAGAGTAAAATAATCTTCACTGCGCATGTGTGCGACGTCAGCATAACGTTTTTCCGCCTTGTCAACAACAGGAAACCACCGGTCGCTCTCGCTCTTGTTGTGAACAACATGGCGGGAGGAGTCTAGGAACGCCGACTTATACCCTCAAGTTCATTTAAAGCTGCAGGAAGCAGGAATTTATCCTCCTCCTCTTCCTCTTCTTCCTCTCCACAGCCCACTCGCTCTCCCACGCCGGTTCAATCGCTCATTCTCTACATTTTCTCTCGGACATTTCGCTGCCAAACGCTTTTTTCCTCCTCTCTCCTTTTTTCTTTCCGCTCGCTCCGAGCGCATCGTTTGTCAGGCCTCCCAAAAACCAGACGCAGACAGAACTGCCAAGTTTGGCAGGAAGTTCTGCGCATGCTTAAAAGATTTAATCTGATCCAATGCTTGGTACATGTATACACACGTCATGATCGGATCATTTCATTTAGTGTCCATGTAAACGGAGATTTAGAATTTCCGATCAACCAAGGTTTGGATCGGATCGGGGAAATTTTGCGCATGTAAACGTAGCTATTGAAATTTCCTTATTTTTGAAGGAAAATCATTGTATTTTTCAATGAAGATAACTTTAAACTAGTCTTAACTTTAAAGAAATACACTCTTTACATTGCTAATGTAAATGACTATTCTAGCTGCAAATGTCTGGTTTTTGGTGCAATATCTACATAGGTGTATAGAGGCCCATTTCCAGCAACTATCACTCCAGTGTTCTAATGGTACAATGTGTTTGCTCATTGGCTCAGAAGGCTAATTGATGATTAGAAAACCCTTGTGCAATCATGTTCACACATCTGAAAACAGTTTAGCTCGTTACAGAAGCTACAAAACTGATCTTCCTTTGAGCAGATTAAGTTTCTGGAGCATCACATTTGTGGGGTCAATTAAACGCTCAAAATGGCCAGAAAAAGAGAACTTTCATCTGAAACTCGACAGTCTATCCTTGTTCTTAGAAATGAAGGCTATTCCATGCGAGAAATTGCTAAGAAATTGAAGATTTCCTTCAACGGTGTGTTCCACTCACTCCCTTCAGAGGACAGCACAAACAGGCTCTAACTACAGCAGAAAAAGAAGTGGGAGGCCGCGTTGCACAACTGAGCAAGAAGATAAGTACATTAGAGTGTCTAGTTTGAGAAACAGATGCCTCACAGGTCCCCAGCTGGCATCTTCATTAAATAGTACCCCCAGTAGCCTGTTTCTTTAAAGTTAAAACTTTTGAACGGTAGTGTACATATTGAGAAAAATCAGAAACTTTGTTTTGGGTCCTTTATACGTAAGATCCAAAAATAATGAGTTACAATCAAATCAATAATTTTATCCAGTTTACAGTGGAAATCATTAGTTTGAATGAACAGCTACATGTTACACTTTTTCAGTGTATTTAGCTGTAATGTATGATGATTTAATGTAAGATTAAACCCCAAAGTCTGAGGACTCTAACCAACAGCTTCCTGTATTTATGCTGTGAATAACTAAGGCAGGATTGGAGCTGATAGAAAATCAAACCTGGTGCTGGAAAAGTCTACCTAATGACTTTCGTGTTGGTTAATCCAGTAGTAGATATTTCAAGACACAGCTAGACTGCTGCTAACGATTAACACAGCAGTGATATCCATTTAACCCCCCTAAAACGGGAATAAAGAGGGCTTTTTTTTGTCAGAAGGTGAATAGAAATGCAGAAAACATGTGTACAGGGGGGAAAGGTGCAGCTCCTGCCACCTTTAATCCAGATGTTGACGGACGGGGCTCGGATCGCTGTAATGGGTGCCGGGACGCCTGCCAAGGCCGTAGCTTGGATGTGGAGTGAAGATGTTGCGCTGGCTGCCAGCTTGGATCACAACAGGAATCTAGAAAAGAGGCCGGAGAGCGGCCAGGGGAGAAACGGGCCAGCTGTGGAACTGTGGTCATGAGCGACTGCCAGGTGTCCGACGTCTGTGGGTGGAAAAATGTTCATTCACCTTATCACTTCAATGGGCGCAGAGTCAGCGACCGTAAAAACCCGACAGGGGAGGCTTTCCATCCCTCTCCATGGAGTGGTGTTGATTAGACCCCCTGAGTCGGGACACATCCATCGGTGGTGAGGATGTCAACATGGTCGAGAGCAAGTGGCAGCCTCAGATAAAAAATAGAAAAATGCCCAGCAAGAAACAGAGAAGGCTTTGATAAGTCCCAGAACATCTGGTAATTACACATTCAGTGCCGTGGGTGGCTTTAGTCGCAATAGCAGCCAAAATCAGGTCTGGATTCAGACGCCTCTGTTGCCTGGCAATGGAGATGTGGGTTGTGTGTAATCTCTCACCTAGCATTGCTGCACAGGGAAAGGCAGGGAGAGACGCCTTGCAGCGGGCTCTCTTTCTTATCTATCCCTCAGGAGACATGGAGCCCACAGACAGGCAGAGAAGATCTTTTAATTTCTTCCCAAAGATGCGGTCGCA